AAACAATTCATAATAAATGAGCTATGTTCAGTTGATTATTACCCATTATAAATAAATGCATAAAATCCTGTAAATAGAAATATATTGATAAGTTTTAAATATGTAGATTGGGTTATGTTTTTTGAGTAAATCATGCTACATAAATGTAATATTAATGCACTACTTGAAATGACATTTCATAACTATACTGTAGTGTCTCTCTTAACCCACTACAGAACTAAATTAAGAGACTGGATAATATTATGAAAAAATCTGCATAAATAGAAACAAGATGTATTACCAATTGTGTTCCCTGCAGATTTTAATGATACATATTATACAGAATGGACTACAGTTTTGTTTTGTTTTTTTTAAAAAAATAGAACTATTTGCTTCAATTAAAGAAGCAAATTTGTTAAATGAATTAAAACTAATCCACTTGCATATCTGAAAATTGCAGTGGAAACATGTTTACTGTGTTGAGTTGTCTAAGTTGAGCAATTTACCTGTTAATAATCTCTGCATGTTTTCTGGATGAGCACACCTGTTGCCATGTAAATTGCATGTTTCAACAGATCACCCTAAGTTTTTTTTTTCTAGTATTTCTAAAGAGTATAAACTGATGTGTGAATATTAAAATCCAATAAAATATCTTTTGTTAATAATCTGAATTTTTAATTTGGTAAACTTCCATTTACACAAATGTTCAATCCAGAATACTTTATAGATGATTTTAAAAAGCCATGCCAATATTCCTCGAATTTTTTAATAGCCAGTCTAAATATTTGTTAAATAGTTATTATTGCAGCTTGGGTCCTCTTTTAGTGAAATTATATTTGTGTAGTTCTACCAGGGCTGGATGTTGGTTTAGCTACTATAAAAGTAAAGCAGCATCCTTGATTGAGAATGCTAGCATAAAGTATCTGGCTTAAAGAATAATGTCGTCTAATACATTCAAATTTGCATGTCAGGTTTCCTTGGAAGTCAGAGAGTAATTTTAAATAGAAGACTCCTCTGGCAGAATAGACTTCTTGACTACAGGTAGTCCTTGACTTACAATAGTTCATTCAGTGACCATTCAAAGTTACAACAGCATTGAAAAAAGTGACATGATCATTTTTCACAGTTATAACTGTTGCAGCATCCCCATGATCACGTGATCAAAATACACATGCTTGACCATTGACTCACATTTATGAAGGTTGCAATGTCCCTGGTCATATGATCACCTTTTGAATTTGAAATAGGCTATTCCAGACCTGCTGAAAGCATGCAGATTTTGAAACGGGACCGATCTTGTATCTTAAAAAGCAGCATTTCTCAAGCAGGGGATATGGCTCCTTATGTACTCTAGGACATTTCAAGAGGGTAACAGGTGAAATGTTTAATGGGCCCTAGCATGCACCAAGAAGCTGCACAAAAATATATTGCATTGCAAATACTGTTTTACCAGCTAGATAACATACCAGCTACTGTTGTGTATCTGGTAATGGAACCTGGACAGATGGGCCACATGAGAAAAACAAGTTTGTAAGAGTGGCATGGGCAAAACAACTTGAAAAACACTGTACACATAGTCCTTAACCTACAACAATTCGTTTAGTGACCGTTCAAAGGTACAACAGCACTGAAATGTGACTTATAACAATTTTTCACACGTAAGACCATTGCAGTATCCCCAGTCACATGATTAATGTTCAAGTGCTTGGCAACTGGATTCATATGACAGTTGTGGTTTCCTGGAGTCCTTTTGTGACCTTCTGAGAAGGAAAGTCAGTGGTGAATCCAGATTCACTTAACAGCCGAATTACTAACTGCAGTGATTCACATTGAAAAACTGTGGCAAGAAAGATCGTAAAATTGGGAAGAATTCACTTAATATTGCAGTCGTAAGTTGAGGACTACCTGTATTGTGTCATTTGGCAAGGGAGATGAAAATGAAAACCTTATTCTAAAGGAACTTGTTTCATTTTAAAGAATTTGTACTCTTCTTGATAAAAAACAAAAAAAATATATTTGATGTTAAAAATGTACATTTTTGGGATCTGATTTTTTTTTTCTGTTTATCACCTTTGATAGACATGTTAGTAATGTATTAAATTTATATAACTGCCCGTTTCAATATCTGCCATTCACAGCAGCTTACAAAGTTAACATTAAAAACAATACAAAAAAATCAAAATAAGTGCCATCAAAACAGTAACTTGCAATCAATTTGCAGGCTCTCCACCTACATCACCAGATCTCAAGGTAAGATAGCAAGACCATGTCTTCAAGTGCCAACAAAGCCAACATGGTTAGTGCCTCTTGGGGGGGGGGGTGATGTTACAAAAAACAGGCACTACAGCAGAAAAATGTGTGGATGTTAGGAGCAGAGTGTACTTAAGTCTGTGGCACCGTACATTGTAGAGACTGAGGGTGGGATCTCCTGATCAACACCAACTGGAAACCACCATAAATCAATTTAAGATAGTGCTGATATTGTAAAGGATGTGGATTTGTTTCTCTATAAACTTAATAGTATGAGCAAAAGTTGGCTTGAAACTCAACATTAGAAAACTAAGATCATGGCATCTGGCCCTCGATTCCTGGCAAATAGATTGAGTCAAAATGGAAGTAGTGACAGATTTTATTTTCCTGGTCTTCAAGATCAATGCAGAAGGGGACTACAGCCAAGAAATTAAGATGCTTGTTCCTGGGGAGGAAAGCTATGGCAAATCTAGACAGCATACTAAAAAGCAGAGACCTCACCCTGCCAACAAAGGTGTGTATAGTCAAGACTATGGTTTTCCCAGTTGCAATGTATGGCTGTGAAAGTTGGACCATAAGGAAGGCTGAGCGCCAAAGAATTGAGGCCATTGAACTATGGTGCTGGAGAAGACTCCTGCGAGTCCCTTGGACTGCAAGACAATCAAACCGGTCAGTCCTAGAGGAGATCAACCCTGACTGCTCTTTAGAAGGCTAGATCCTGAAGATGAGACTCAAATATTTTGGCCACCTAATGAGAAGGAAGGACTCACTGGAGAAGAGCCTAACGCTGGGAAAGATTGAGGGCAAAAGAAGGGGACGACAGAGGAGGTGGCTGGATGGAGTCACTGAAATGGAGTCTGGGGGATGGTAGATAGGAAGGCCTGGAGAATGTTGTCCATGGAGTCACCATGGGTCAGAGGAACAACAATAGTATGTGGGAGTAACCTTGGGAGCCTCTGTCAAGGGAATACTTAAGTGGCAGAATAGCTTAAATGCAGATACTGGCTCTAAGGCTGCAAAAGAAGGGAGGGAACAACTTTCAGACTTGAAAGGTTCTGTCAAAGTTTTACAATGACATATAATTAGCTGTTATTGTGTTTCTTATCTGGGATGGTCTGCAAGGCCAACATAATTTTTTCACACAATTTAGTGGCATCTGCTTCTGAACCATCAAGTTTAGGAATTAAGTCCTTAATTATGTTAGCCTACAAGAATGTCACCCTTCGCTCAGTATTTAAGTTAAGATTTAACAGCTGATTTCATACTCGCCCTGCAATAATGATTATGGGATAAGCCTGCTAACCTTTATGGCTAGTTTGCACACTGGAAAATTGGAGATAAATATATTTGTATTTATTAGTTTGTCAAACATGTACAAGATAGGTATAAATATAAACATGGATATAAACAAAAGAAACAAATACAAATAGATGGGGACAGTAGGACAGGGATGTTAGGCATGCTAGTGCGCTTATGCACGCCCCCTTTATGGAATTTCTTAGGAATGAGATGAGGTCCGTGGTAGAGAGTTTGTTGAAGCTGTAGGGGTTTGAGGATGTAAAAACAGAGTCAGGTAAGAGCATTCCAGGCGATGATCACTCTGTTGCTGAAGTCATATTTTTTGCAATCGAGTTTGAAGTGGTTTACCTTGAGTTTGCATTAATTGTTTGCCAGTGTATTATTGAGGTTGAAGCTGAAGAAGTATTGGATGAATCAATGCATCCAATGAATGCATTGGATGAATGTCATAGTATGGTCAGAGAACAGCTCCAGGCACCGGAGTCAATTCAGTCAATCATATTTCACTAAGTAGATGCGTTTCTGCAAATGCAACCTGTGGGATTAAGGCATCAAACTGGAAACCGGGAGATTGTGAGTTCTAATCCCACTTTAGTATATAAAGCCAGCTGGTTTCTATGGGTCAATCACTCTCTCAGCCCTAGGAAAAGAGGCAATGGCAAACCACTTCTGAAGAAAAAGAACCAAAACACAAGTTGCCAAGAAAAATTTCAGGGATTTGTCCTGACAGCCTCAAGAGTGGGACACAACTGAATTGGAGGACAGAAAAGGGAGGACAATCCTATCCAACAACAAAAAGGTTAAAGAGAAAATCTTTTTAAATTTTCACTCTTAACGTAAACATCTCAGCCAGGCCTCTGCAACTTGGCAAAAAAAAAATTATTATTGATTAGCAATTATTAGAAACGGAGCTCCTTTTGATGTTTTTCTCCTTTTTATGCGCCGCAAGCCTTTGAATATAAACAACGTTTCCGCAAATACCCATTGCTCAGTTCTCACTTTTTTCACGCGTCTTGCAAATGCATTTTTCGCGGTTACTCCCGCATGCTTAAGTACTTAGGAGAGAACCTCGAGCGTTGCCGTGCATCTTTATCACGGAAAAAACTTCGTGCACCGCCATGGTTTCTATTAAAACTTGCCCGCAATTCTTATTCTCCCATGTATTCTTCTGCAATGCCCGCTGCTGCAAGTTTATTCAGAGCAAACAGATCCCTTTTTTCTTTAGCACGGCGGTGTCACTAGCGACAAGATCAAGATCTGGCCCGTGGCAGTTCTTCAGATTTTTGGCTCGGAAGATTCACGTGCAGACGAACTTCCGCGTCACGCCTCCTGCCTTGGTTCTCAAAGGGGCGGGGCAAACAAAAGGGAGGGAGGGATTTTCCGCGCCTGCGTGTGTCACAGGAGGCGGCAGAACTTTCCCACCAATAGGAGATGGAGAGGGCGGGGCCGGGGCGAGGCGAAAGACGGGAATGATGGCGTCTGCGGGGATGGGGCTACGGCGGCTCCTGGTGGCCGGTTCGAAAGCGAGCAGGAGGCGAGTGTGAGTGTCGTGGTGGAGGGGATTGCGCGTGCGCTTTCCGAGAACGGCACGGGAGGCGGCGGGCTTTCTTCCCCGTTGTCCTCTCCCCCCACTTTCCGTTGCCACTTTTTAAAGCCAAGTCCAAGGCAGCTGATTCCTGATGTTGCGGAGGTGCTCGGGATAGTTTTTGCCGCCCCTTTAAAATTGTGGCAGTGCACAACATCCTTAAGCTGGGTGGACTTCGACTCCCAGAATTCCCCAGAGCTAGCATGGGAGTCGAAGTCCATCCAACTTAAAAGAGCTGAGGCTGAGAAAGCCTCGAATGTAATAATTCCGTCTCTTCCCATCTTGACTGATTTTGCAATAGCTGAGGAGCATCCAGCCTGGTTTGTCCTTGGAGGGGAAACCCATCTGGAAGCCCGTGGCTTTATAATTAGATTGGGAAGTCAAGACTGGGAAGAAGATAGTGGAGGATGAGTTCCACACAGCTGCCAAGAAAGCCAGTCCTTTCATGTTGCATATCCTTGAATCACCCGGAACTTTTCAACTAGTGGGGGCACTTTATCTTAAAATCATTGTGTAGAGATTATTTAAAGATGGTCAACTGATCCCTCTAGTTATCTTCGGGTTGTTATTATTATGGTATAATCTTTATTGTCATTGTACTTAAATACAACAAAATTGGTTGTTTATATATTATTTTTATTATAATAATATAGTAATATTATATTATTATTATATACTTTATTCATTAAACATGAAACTCAGCCAACTGAACATTCAAAAATGCATTACAAATACCATTGACTGGTGCTAATAGTTGATACGGTTTGCTGCCAGCGTCCTAGGTATCATCATCATCATCATCATCATCATCATCATCATCATCATCATCATCATCATCATC